CTCCTTGTTCTCTTTTCTATAAGTTGTTTTAATGTAAATATATTGTCTATGACCGACCTGCCGGCAGGTTAAACCACATTGTTCCTCTCCTATTTTTCCTTTTATCTCTTCTTCTATTTTATTTCATTCTTTAATTTTCAAAAAATCAAGGTTTTCAAACGAAATGAGATCTGCACCATTCTCTTAAAAATCCTTTACACTATCCAACAAAACTTAATCAAAAATGTTGGAGCAGTTTTTGAGAAAAAATGTTTAAACACAATTAAAATTTGTCTATATTTCACGCAAAAAGACGCGAAAAATACTCCAATTTTTGAAAAATTGTACGTAACCTTATTTGAAAATCTATCTTTAGAAACAATTTCATTAAGGAAAAACTCTTCATAATTCTTCAAACACCTTCATAATTGTAGATGGAAGAAGACGCTGACAAATTTGAATTTTTGCAATTTTCGTAAAATCAGGATTTTCAGCGAAACAGGCCTGCACAATTCTTAATTGGGGAGTATCAGTTTTGGAGAATATCGGCTGATCGGTTTATTCGCTAGCGTTGTTCTCAGACGGACAGACGTATTGCCGTCAATCGATTTTTCGGTTTGAAGGACCCACAATACATAGATTTTGACTACATCATTTGTTAGAGGATTTTTCTCTTTAAATTTAGCAAACTGGATTTATTCTGTGTTTCATCACCAAAGCAATAAGGTTCGTCACCTGTAATAAGAGTTTTTATGCAGAAAAGGGATCGAAGGGATTGAAATAGGGATGGAGGATAGTGAAAATAAGGAGAAATGACAGGATACAGGATGCGAGCGAGTTTATGATGTGTCGTGCCCGCTCAGTACCAATTGTGAAGTTAAAATGCCTCCAAAATTACAATTCGTTTCGTACTCACAGGACCGCTATATCAGCCAGATCGTTTAAGGAATACCAATGTTGGTAAAATTCATGCGTACAAGTTTCCGGGCCATTGTTGTTCACAGACGAACGGACAGATAGACGTTTTGAAAAAAAATATTTACTTTTATCAGAACTCTTCAAAAGGTGAAACCAAAATCTCAACATTTGCAATTACATAATTTTCTCTACAATGTTATAAAGTAAAACGTGCGAGAAAAACACAAAAGAAGATAAACTAAATTTGTTTTTAACATTCATATGGTACTTACTTGACTTTGTTGTGATAAGACGCTGCATTCTGGTGGTAAGTCGGAGTTCTCTGGATTTGGTTTAGTAGTAGCGGGCCTTCAAAAAAGAGAGAAAACTTTTCGAATTACTTTCATTTAACGGGTCGTTCATTAACTAACGAAAATATTGAGTATTTTGAATACTCCCTCCCCTCCCTGTACTGAGCGCTGAAATCCTAAAAATACGCAACATTTATTAACCTTAGAATTTATTAACGTAAACCTATTTATTAACGTTAGTTGTTAAACTTAGTACAACCCTCTTCATTTACAATAAGTAACAAGTAAGAAAAGTAATGGTAAACAGCACGTATTTTCTCGCCATTAGTAATGGTTATGTAATACTATTTACACCACGATATCTCTCCGCATTCTTTTTTGCAAAACTCATTTGAAATCTTAGAACATTTGGTGCAGAAAATAAGCAGAATGGAAGAAAGTAAAATATTTAAAAGTTATTAAATAATACGATACTGATAGATAGTAATTATGGTATGGTAAACACTATGGTATTGTAATATTCTACAAATACATAAAAGTATTTGTCTTTATTTACGCTAATAAAAGCAATCGTCATTATCGTGTTATCTGAGCGGCGTTACTGAAGATTAGCAATCTTTATTTCATATTTATTTCCAGTAGATTTATTTAATATATTTCGTCAAAAACAGTAGAAACTGTATGTGACGTATGGTGGAGAAAACATAGAGTAGAGATACATTGTATCTCTCCTCTATGGGAGAAAATCAACTGCGCACGTTTTCTTGAGTTCCAGAACCCCTTCCCAACATTTGAACTATTAATATTTGAAAGATGAATAAACGTTAATAATTATAATAATTGAAGTATATAATAACTATAATATAATAATAAAAATAAAATTGAAAAGGGCGTGAAATTAGCAACATTTGTAGAAACTAGACATTTTCGTTCCGAGTTATAGAAAACTTATTTGCATCCGCAAACGAACTCCAGATTTGATTCCTCTGTATTGCCAACAAAATAGCAATTCACCCCCTGGTCTACTCCTACCACTACCACCGCTAAGGAGGAAACCACTAAAAGAAGGTTCAACAAAATGTGCGCATAGTGAAGGTACATTGTTGTTCAGAAGCAAATCAAGGGGCCGTCTCAGCTTGTGATGGATCAGGGTAACTGGAAAAAAACCTGATCGAGATGGGGATCATTGCCCCGTAAGATGAAGTACATTTCTACTTACAGTCACATTAAGTCTTTTTTTAATTATACAATACAAATGTAAATTAACGCTCATCCGGGGGCCGAGATCGCTAAGGCAGTAGTGCCGTAGTGATCTCGGACCGAAGGATCCCGGGTTCGAGTCCCGCCTCGGGCATAGTTATATTGTGTTCGTTCTGTCACCGCCTATTATCGTCATATCGTGTCATCCTCATAGTTACCATACTGTTGCAAGCAATAGTGGTCGATAAAGACCTAGAAGTTGATGTGACCTTAAATAACCACAAAAAATGTAAATTACTGCTTTATAGGTCATTGTTTTGTTAGAATAAATATTATTTTTCTTTTTGATGTTCAATATAGTCTCTAATTGTATAAAAACACATATGCAGCAGAAACTATTTTACTTTTAACTTAAACTTGTGTGCCGACTTTAATTGTTTAGTGTCATTTGGCAATGCGTTGTAAAGTAATGTACATGTATGTGGATTTCTTGTAGTGAGCCGTTGACACTGACTCTTGATGAATGTGATTACTAAGACGTGTGTTGTAATTATAAAGGTCAGTATTGCGTCAGTATGAGAATATGTTCCCATGGTGAAGTAAGTCACCTTTGTCAAAAATTACAGATTCGTAAATAAATAGGCACGGCCATGGTAAGATTCCGAGCTCAATGAAGAGGCTTGCAGGGATCACGATGGAATTTTTTCATTGTTCGAATAATTTTCTTTTGCAGTCATGTCTGGATACAACAGTATGAAATTCCCCAGAATATTATGCCATATCTTCGGCGGGAATGTATATTCGCAAAATACACGCAACGAGATGCATGAAGGCTAATAGAATATGAAAGAATCGTGAATGCGTAACATATTGAACTTAATTTAGTGTTTAATGCTGTTATATGTACATCCCATTTGAAGTTTTCATTGAATTGAGATACCTAGAAATTTTGTTGCTTTAACATCAGCTAATTGCATATGGTTTATTTTCAATAGAGTGTGCGATTGCCGATTTGAAATGCAAATATGCATTGAAATCGTTTTTTTTGTTAACTTTTAATTTGTTATTCCGAAACCAATTTAAAACTTCTGAAATCGTACTATTTATTGTTTCTTTTTTACAAAGAACATTCGTGTCATCGGCAAACATAACTGTTCTTCCAGTTTTAGTAGACGAGGACACATCGTTTACGTGTAACAGAAAGAGGATAGGACGTAAGATCGAACCTTGCATGGCCCCATGCTCAGTTGGCAGAGAATTAAAAATATAAGTAAATAATGTTCTTTCGTACCAGTACGGTATTTCTACTCTTTGAGATAGATGCTTAAGGTACGAGGTTGTCCAGACTAGAGCAATACCACGAATTCCATATGAAGCTAAATTTGAGAGCAGGATGTTATGGTCAATAACGTCAAAAGCTTTCGGAAGATCTACAAGTATTTCTGTGGGTGCTTCATTTCGGACCATTGATAAAACAACAGCTTCAAAACAAGAAAAAATGGTAGTTTCCGTAGATTTTGATTTTCTAAAATCGTGTAGTGAGTCTGAAAATACTTCTTTTTTCCTAAAAAAAGTTAACATTCGCATATAGAAAATCCTCTCCAATATCACAAAAGAGAAATTGACTGGTAATTTTGAATTTAAAAAAATTCGAATTACTTTCTTTACTTATTATGTTTTAAGAAATTTCTAAAAGATTACTTTGGAAAAATATTACAAAAGCTCCATTGTAAGAAACGAACAAATAAATATCAAATACTATACACATTCTAACATGGCATCCGACTGCCTCAAAACATAATTACGATCAAGAAGCGCAGTATTTTCAGGGGCGAATAACTTTGGCACCCTAAGACTCCAAAAATATTCATATTTTCGAAAAATCCAACATGACATTATTTGAAAATATGTTTTTATGAACAAATTTCATTAATAAAAAAGGTATCTTCGTAACTGTAGTTGTAGGAAGACACCTAGACGGCGGATATGAAAGTAACCTAACGTTTAATTCTCGTAATTAACAGAGACATCTTCAGCTTACCTTCTTGGAAGAACGTCTGGAGCGGTAGAATATCAATGTCGGAAGTCAAGGTTATAGACTTGCCTCATAACGCACGTGAGTATGTTGCACTCAAAATCTGATCCCAGCACTCACCCAAGACCGAAAGCTTTAAGTTTATTTTATTCGTGCGAAAAAGTGCGAGAAAAGCGATGTTTGGAGCTCATATGACATAGAATGTGTCGTCATTGAGGAAAGACTAATATAATCATATTTCTCTATGGTGTCATTCATACTCAAATAACATCTTGAGTCTACATTAGAAAATGGAGGATCGTTTCCTCTAGACTATTATTGGGAGAATTAAACTGAAAACGATTTAAATGTTCATTTTTACCCAAGACAAGAATATAAATATTTTAAACGCATTTAAAAAAGTAGTAAATAATTTTAAAGAGGCATTTATGTCAAAAAGGCAAAAGAGGATAAATAAAACTTAGCCAAAGTGTTTCATTTTATATAATTCGTGTTCATATACCAAAAGACTTTCATAAACATTCGATTTAATAGGTATTTTACTGTACTAAATATCCGATGTCTAGTAATAATATACCATTTTTGTAAAAAAAAAGTGATTCCTCTCTTAAGCGACCCCCCTGACATATATATATATATATATATATATATATATATATATATATATATATATGTGTGTGTGTGTGTGTGTGTGTGTGTGTGTGTGTGTGTGTGTGTGATGAAAATATGTCCCCATACTTGAGTAAATGAGTTTTGACAAAAAGCACTGATTCAAAAATGAGGAGGCATACATTGGTATGATTCTCAGCTTAATAAAGAGAGGTTTACAGGGATTACATGGGTGGCATTTGTTTATTATTTGTACAATTCTTTATGTAATCTGAAATTCTGGGAACTTAAGGGAGTTTCCTCAGAATAATATGCCATATATCAGACGGAAAAGCACATTCGCAAAATACACATGTGCTGTATGAAGGCTGAATGAATTTGAAATAATTCTGAATGTATACTATAATGAACTTAATTATGTGTTGAAGTCATTTAACCTGTTGTTTCATTTTAGTTTTGATGGAACTGAGTGCGAAAAAGCTTGTTACCTTAACATCAGCCAATAGTACAACATTCATTTGCACTGGAATATGCAATTGTTTATTTGCAATTAAAAACTATTCTGACACAATAAATATTGTATTACTTATTGTTTCATTTTTGCAAAGAATATTCGCCAGCAAAGAGAACTGATCTTCGGTTCCGAATCAACGATTGCCTTTCTTCAACTTTCAGAAGGAAGAATACTATATAATATTAAACCTCGTGGAATGCTATTATCAATTAGCAATGAATCAGAAAGATGAGTGAATAATGTCCCTTCATACCAGTATAGTCTCTGAGATAGTTGTTTAAGGTACAAAGATGCTAAATCTAACGCAAATTCATACGCAGATAGTGTTGAAAGCGTCGAATGACGTCAAATGCTTTTGAAATATCTAAATTCATTACATCAAATTAAGAGTTGGTGTGGATATTTCCAGTTTAATGCTGTCTTTATTTCTTTATAAGTAAATGAAAAGTAATTTTCTTGTAGGTTAGAAACTCACCGGTTGATGATATCAAAACATCTTTCACAAACACGAACTTCTTTTTCAATTCCAAATTTTGGTAAAGCTGCAGTTTTGGAAGAGCACTGACCACAAAAGACTTGACCACATGCACGACAGTGGTGCTGCCAACAAAGAAACACAAGGATATAGTCATCATGGGCAAAAAAATAAGATATAAATTAATTACACTTTATTGCATGTTTTATGGTGTATTGCATATTGCAAGAAAGGAATTCAATTCAATATGTATTGTAGGATAACAGGCTTTCAAAGTTCCTAAAATAAACTGATGCTATAACTGAATATACTTTCTCGCATTGTTTTTAACTATTACCCAATATTATACTGCACGATCCTGCAATATTTTTCCAGCAAACTTTTTCCAGTTGTTTCAGCCAGCAATTTTTTTCTCTGAATCGAGATTCGAACACAGGTCCAAAGAGATATTACGCAATGCGCGTTACCAGTACTTCACCAGCCACCGCACAGTGTAAATCATTCCCCTCCCCTCTGCTTAAAAAACTAGCGGTTTTTCACATTATATCTAACATTCAGGGTTTCAGAAGTAACATTTCGAGTTTGGAATCATTTTCAAAAATTCAGAGAAGAACGTAACTGACACCTGCGCCTTTTTAAGCTTCATTTGCTTTATTAGTGGAAAACAAATTGAAAGACAAAATTGGGAACGTTTTTGAGAACTGTATAAACAAATTGCATTAAATTCATGTAGAATTAACGCGGAAACGTCTGGTTTTTTTGAAAAATTATACATGACCTATTTCAAAGATCTAAGTTTTTGGAACTGAAACGAAAATGAAACTATCAATTTGTTCGATTTGTATGAACTCATGGGAAAAGAGTCTATTGATGGATGTAGCCTTGGACGCACTTTGTTAGAGGAAGACTGGGTCGATTTCGCTAAAGAATGGACATCTGAATGTAGGCCAGAAATATTAATATGTCATTCTGGTTTTAATCCCAATTAGTAGCGACTCAGGATATTGGAAATTTGGCGAAACCTTGGGGAATGTACTCCAGCGAACTAATAGGTGGTTGTCACGTAAGGAACAAGATATCGTGAGACGATTGCATTAGCCGATCGATTCTGATTACATGAATTCGCAAATAATGTATTTCCTCTTGTTTGACATAAAGTGTTTTTTTATTACCTTAAGAGAGATGCCAACTGGCAGCGACGTTTGGGGAGTGGCAATATGCTGCAACTGGATTAGTTTTGGTGGTACAACGATCGCGGGCCCTCATGTGGGCATATGCTGTTGCGGGAACATTGAATTTAGAAGATTCGTAACAAAAACAGAATTCATTTAACAGAAAACTCTCTCTCTCCCTCTCCCTCTCTCTCCCTCTCTCCCCCTCTCTCTCTCCCTCTCTTCCTCTCTATCCCTCTCCCTCTCTCTCCCTCTCTCTCTCCATCCCTCTCTCTCTCCCAACATTATTTTGTAACATTAATTTTTTGCAATTTTCGAAAATGCAGAGTTGGCCGAAAATGGGACCAGCACCAATTTCTATCGTCCCCTTGAAACATATGATAAAACTTTTTTTTTAAATTCCAGCTGTTTGAGAAAATAAAGATTTTAAAATATCTATATTTCAAATAAAATTTGGCGTTTTTTCCTTATTCGAATTATTTTCTTTTGCAATCTAAAGGTCTGGATACTACATAATGAGCTTCCTCAGAATATTGTGCCATATCTCAGGCGATAATGCACATTTGCAAAAGACACTCAACGAGTACACGAATACACGCAACATCACTCATGTTTTAGACATGAGTGGGAAAACTAACCATCCGTTTGTTTTCTTTCAATTTGAGAAGAAAGGGTTCCTTTTTAGATACTGGAACAATGGCAAAGTGTGTCCGAAAGAACTGCAGTATGTTAAAAAGTCTAACCTACAGATGCATTACGAAGCTTTGTAACCCAGGGAAAAATGAGAAGTACTAAAAATAAATTCTGAGAATTGACTGATAGCCCGCAATCATGGGATGAGTAAAGGAATTTGCATATTGAAGGTGATGGAAAAGATGCTGAAAATCACAAATATTTTCAACATTCTCTAACAAAACTGAACATCAAAAATAATCTGAAGCCCAAATTCTTTCGCATGACCCCTACCGGATACCTGTTCGATATTTATTTGCTAACATTAATTATTGTTTCAAAACGAACTCTTTCGTTATATTATGTACCATTACATAAAATAGTATTGTCCTTAAATGTTAACGCTGTCTTTTCAAAAAATTGTATCTAATGGAAGAATGGAAGTGAAATTATAGTACAGTTTTTGATAAAGATTCTGATATTACTTTGAGTTAAGCAATAATGTATGCTCTATTATTGTTAATATTGTTATTGAATCATAAACATTCTAAACAATAATTACCATTTAAAAACCTTAATTATTGATTCTCCAAGCGAACCGTTTCTCCTCCCTTCCGTACCATCATTGGACAACTGCCCCCGCCGCCGCGACGGGCCCTTCCTTTCTCAGCGGCTCGGTTCGGAGCAGGAGAGCAGGTTTCTGTGACGTCACAGCGCATTGAGTTGGAAAGCACTGGTTTAGATCGATCGCGGAATAGCAATTTTGGAGAAAATCGTGTGAACGGTTTATGCGGTAGCGTTGATAACAGACAGACAGACAGATACGTTTTGCCGTTCATTACATTTTTCGGAATCAAAGATCCAGAGGACGAGGCTTCTGATTGCATGACGTGTTAGAGGAAGTAATTTATTACATAGGAATAAGCAGTAGCGCATTCAGGGGGAGGCATGGGGGTCATGCCTCCCTCCCCAAAAGGCCAAGAGTTTCCCTTTGTTATTCCCTTAGTTCTCTTTATTTGACAAAATTGATTTGAATATTTGTTATTATTTTTTAAAAAAATATTGAATAGCATCCAAAAATTCACACACCACGCACACAACACACACACACACACACACCACACACACACACACACATATATATATATATATATATTATATATATATATATATATATATATATATATATATATATGATATTGTGTGTGTATATATATATATACTACAAAATAATATACACTATAGTAACAAATATGTAAATATGTTTATTATTTAACAATAGTCTATCATGCCCCCCCCCATGATCGGGTAGACTCACCCCTGGGAACAAGATTTATCCACTCTCTCGTTACCAGTCCGGACAATACGAGTTTTTCTGTCGCTGATTTCCGACGCATCATAACAATACTTTCTCTTGTCTACATACGTAGTAACGCGAAAAAATAAAAATACACCTGGTATCTCTAAGTCCCTAATTGAATAACCTGCATGGTTAAAATCCTACCGTTCCTTCAATCAAGACAAATGAGATGTCATTCATCGAGTTACAGTCTCCTTGTGTGAAACAGTTCATTTTTTGGATACAGTCAGGAGGCTCTAAGAAGCAACTAAAATGGTTTTGGGGTCACTTACGGCGCCTGCAGACGAGATGAATGGCTCATTCGATTCCTCTCGATAAAACAAATCATTTGCACAATTCTTAGCCAGTTTCCTTTAGGACAGTCAGGAATAATTCTAGAAAAGAAGGTTAATTGCTTATTTCGTGTTTCCGGTCGTGTCAACTGCCAAGTGGATAGTCCTGAAAGTGTGGTGCATATTCTATCTCGGGAGATTGCTGTATTCCTCTCCCGCTGGAACGTGAGATTTGGTGCCGACCTATACATACGTCAGCTTGCGGGAGTTTTGCCACCTCCAAGCCTCAGCTCTAAGATCCCGTCTGATTTCCTCGACCGTGGAGATTTAAGGGGATCCGCCCGGCATTGATCGGAGAAACCACGGAAAACTACCGATCAGAGCAGGGCAGCATGATTTGAATTATCCTCCCTGCTGAATTTGACCTAGCTATCTTGCTTGTCCCGAAAATCCTCCCACCGCCGGGATTCGAACACTAAGAGAAGCACTGCAGCGTCAAAAATTATTGCCCTAAGCCACCTCAACCGGTGACACACTACTTCGGAATCACAAATCAATCACTATAATTTTGTAATGAAACCAAAATTAAACAATTATTTAATCGATATTTTAATGTAATTTTCTATGCCAGACGAGTTGGGCAACTCATATGTTTACAATTTAATTTTCTTTACTCGCCTTACGTTGTATGAAGAGAAAGTATTGTAATCGCGTGCCGATTTTTCAACAGAAAACCTCTTATTGCCGGATCCTGGTTACGAAAAAGTGGATAAATGTTGTTTCTATACATATAGAAAATTACTTCCTCTAACACATTGTGTAGTCTGAGTCCATGTTTTGTGGGACCTTGATGCAGAAAAATCGATTGACGGCAAAACGTCTGTCTGCGTGTGATCAACGCAAACGCCTATACCGTTCAGACATTTTCTCCAAAATTGATATTCCCTGATCCATCTGAACTAACTCAACGTCCTGTGAGTTTGAAACGCATATTCTGTTTTTGGGGGTACTTTACATAAAATTCTCAACATTTTCAATCTTATGCAAAAATAACTGCATTTTTTAAATTAAACTTTGTCTCGCATTGCTTACAGGACGCTCTGTGATGTTTTGAACATTGCAAAATTTCAAAATATTTGCAGTTTTTACGTAATTTTGGCTGAAATGTAGGCAATTTTTATTTTTTTCAAAAACTGCTACAAATTCCTTCTTCAAGTTTTATCCTCGTATGCATCAAAGGACGGTATAAAAGTTGGTGATAGTCCCATTTTCGACTTTGTGTTTTCGAAAATTAAAAAAATTTAACGTAGCAAATGTATAATATTGATGTCAGAGATTTTTTAATGAAATATGTTTTTTAAAAAAACGCTCTTTAAAAAAGGTCATATAAAATATAATTTTTTTGAAAAAAGTAGTATTTTTTTGCGTAATTTACGCTTGAAGTTAATGCGAATTATGAAAAAGTTCCTCAAGAACCTTAATTTTTTTCTTCAAATGCTTTCAATCGATAAAACAAGGGTCGTTTAAACCAGTGACGAACTATCACTATCTTTACGCACTGAACTGACACTCTAAGGCATTAACAACAGATGGCGGTCGGCTCATCTGGTTGGCGGAAGAATACTTTTCGCTGTGCGATGCTGGTCTTCAGCGATGCTTAACTATTTCAGAACCTGTGAAAAAATCGTCTGTACTTCGATTAAAACATTGAGACCGTTCACACTTGATAATCTGTGTCGCTGTCATTCAATCGGGAGTTTGAATGTCACGAATGGCCTGAGTCTCGCCACGTAAAAAATAAGGCATCAATTCAATTCAATTCAATACTATAGTTACGTCACTATGGTGACGTTCAAACTCCCGATCTGATAACAGCGTCACCATACCATATATATATATATATATATATATATATATATATATATATATAATATACCATAGATGTTTCAAGACGCAAACGTCGCAAGCGTGATTGGACCGATGATGTCCTACTCAGGGGCGCCCAGAGAAAACCAGGGGCCTGGGGCAGTTGATCCACGGGGGCCCCTCATTTCGAACGAAAAATTCTCTCCTTCCCGATGGCATTCATTTCTCCATGCATCAGAAATAAAGTAGTTCGGTAGCGTTAAATTTGAGTTAGAGAAAAAATAATCTTTGTTTCTTTTGAATGAAAAGAAAATCGGGGCCTCAATGAAGTCGGAGATTGGGACACGTTGCCCTCGCTGCCCCACTCCCTTCTGAATGGCAGAGATAGCTCAGATGATCTCACTTTAGTCACTCTGACCGGGAGGTGCTAGGTTCGAGTCTCGACGGTGGCAGGATTTTCGACACTAGATTGTTAGCTAGGTCAAATTCAGTCGCTGTCTGGAGGAGATTTCTAGCATCTGGCTGCTCTGTTCGGTTTCTTGGTTTCTCCGATCAACACCAGACGAATGTCCTAACAAACGGGCCACGGATCTCACCTTCCAATCCTCACCTCTTACATACACACTTATACTAACATGCACACACACCGTGCCGGGAGACACGTCTGGAGCTAAGTGCTTGTCCCGGCCTTTTATATCATTAATCCCGCTGGTGGGAAAAACTCACTTGCCGACGATATGTCTACTGTACAGCGAGAAAGATCGCCACCTCCCGAGCAAAAAACATGCATTACACTTACGGGAATAATGACCCTGGTAGTTAACCTGCTCGTAAACACTAAGCAATCAATTAACCACCTCCCCAGTCGACGCTCTGAGGTTAAAAAAGCAACGAACCGTGGGTGACTGGTCAGCGGGACCTCTGAGCCTACAACCTCTGAGCTCAGCAGCACAAAGAGGGAGTAACTCCTGCTCGGAGTGGGAATTCTTGTGCAAAATGAACTTTACACCATTATCGCCACTCTGAAGGCGGCGCGCTACAGCAGTTTTCGTCGGACAGACGACCACAAGACCAAAGCTCCTGCAAAACCCAAAGCTCCTACCGATCACGCCCGTATGTATCACCGCGTATGGAGAGTGCTCATACGTGCTTCTGGCCGAGTCATAAGTCTGTTGGAGTGGACAGGACGCCCTGTGTGATAAAGCGACGTAGTTCCGGCACTTTTAATTGCACTGATTGGGGCTGGTTGTGGGAGGCTACACAGGATCGCAAGTGAGAGCCGCTCGCCGAGAGAGCGAAGTAATGGTGATGGCCGCAGATAACGTAAGAGCGGTCCGCGCATTCTGTTGATGTGTGCTGCGCAGTCGGCTATCAGTTTGTTTTATGTGTTCATGAGCTAAGGCCATGCTGTTTACTATTAAGGTTTTGTTTTAGTTTTTCTTGTCAAATAATTAAGTGAAACTTAATTTAATCGCTATTTATTCGAATTACGATCCACCTACACATTCCTTCCTGCTCCAAGCGTCTAAAGCAATGTGGTATCAATAAAGAAACGATTTCTTCCCGTTCGTCACATTTATGAATTTAATCCAGACGACTATTGTTGCAATTATAGTTATCTATATTGCATGAAAATATGTTCTCACTCTTAAGAGAGTTAACTACTGATTGGTAAATGAATAGGCCGTCTCCTAATTTGGTCGTTGTGGTATCCTAAGGTCGTATCCTAAGGCCAATGAAGAGAGGTTTTCAGGAATAACGTGGAAGGCATTTGCTTATAATTCAAACATTTTTGTATGCAATTTATAATGCACGACAATATACTATAGGATGCATTTTCCCAAAATAGTTTACCACATCTCAGGAGGGAATGTGCATTTGCACAATATGCAACGATCAGGGAGAATGCTGACTGAATTTGGAAGAACTCTGAATGCATAATATAATGAACTTCATTTAATATTCAGTTCATTTGTATAGAAATTCCATTTGAAGTAACACTGAATTGGGAGATCCAATTTTTACTTTCCTTTTATAAATTTTTGTCGCCCTGGTTCAATGCACCTCTCGAGCCAGGATCACGACGGCGCTGGAATTCAATATACAATTTGCATCGAAACAAACTTAAGCCAATGTAGTTAGGCGGGTGTTTTACGAGAAGTTGGTATTGTTCGAAGTCACAATCACTCCGATCTAAAATACAGAAGAGCACGGGCTCATTACGAAACGTTTGAATTGAGAACTAGCTCTTGCCACGATGATAAATATTAATTTTATATTCCCAAGGGAAAAACACAAAATGGTAAGTATCATTTGAATTTGCTTATGGATGGAATGTATTGATCTAGTGCCAATGCTAATAATTGCCACTAGCCACACCTAAGCAATATCTTACCTTGCGTTGCACCATGCCAAATTGGATTCTACATCGATGACACACATCTCCATCAACCCATGCAGGTGCAGTATCAGCAGAAAACATGGCATCACTCTCTCTCAAAGTGGGAAAGTTGTAACCTTCTCTTTTCATAATATTAAAGGTGTCCTACAATCAAAATCATTTGATTTAATATGAGTGGACAACAGAGTATAATTCAAAATATTACTTCATTTTCTCAAACACACAAACATCATTATACTAACATACTTCATAAAAGAATTTCCAGCACTGAACAAAATGGATCTTTAGATTAAATAGTTGGTTAAATATCTTTTAATTTAAAAGCTAAATAACTACTTGAACCAACTTTGAGCAATCTTGCAGCTTTGACAATGCACATATAGACGCTTTATAGCATTTATTTACACAGTATTTGTATTTATATATAGTATCCCACAGGGTAGCGAGGGTACCAGGGGTACCCAGAGTCAAACACTTTTCTGAGATCTACAAATACTATATGAATCTTTAAGGCAAGGTTGGTGTATATTCCCTACTCTATTATATATATATATATATACACACACACATATACATATATATATACCAACACACCTGGAAAAAAGTGTAAGGACATAGGAAAAACAATTGGTTCAGATTTCTTATATACCTTGATGTATGTAGACGATAAAGTGGTTTTAGCCAGTAAGGATGATATCCACTTCAAGAATCGAAAATTAATTTAAGGATATGAAAATTAGGGACTTGACATTAATATATCAAAATCAAAATATATGGTAGTAGTATGCAATAATAAGGACCTGATAACCCATAGGGGCATAATCAAATGTGTAAAGGAATTCAACTATCTGGGTGTAACTTTAACATTGATGGCAAAAATGACCTGAATAAATGAAATAGATGTTTGTAAGTTATAAGATCTTTCTATTGACATGGAATTAAATCATAAAAAGAAACAAAAATTACACTGTATAAAACAATTTTCACATGTGGAGCTGAGTTACGGGCTAAGGGATGAAGTAAGATCCAAGGAACAGAAATGGAATGTTGTAGGCGGTGTTGTCAGGTTACAAGAAAGGAAAGAATTAAAAATCAAAGAACAATAAAAAAATGAAACCTGTAAAATCAACCTTAGAACTGATAGAAACAAAGGCCCTATTATCGTATGGGCATTTAAGAAGGTTGGACAGTGAGCGACTGCCAAAGATGATGTGGAAATACTGTCCTGAAGAAAGAAGATATAGAGGAAGACCAAGAGGGAAGTGGGAGGAAGACGTAAGACAATGACGGCGGCGCGATATTTAGAAAATGATGCTTGGAAATGTCGAAAGAAATGAAGATTGGGCAGCGAGAAACGGCGACAACTGTAGAATATTCGCTCTGTTATTAATAAACTATTACGTTTTCTGGTACGTAATATAGAGAAATATTGTAATGCTGTAAAAATCTAAGTCGAGTTATGATGGAAATATACGTTTTGGAGATTTCTTGACACCGAATTAGAGCTTCAAATTAGATAATATTAAAAATTTCAATATAAGAGTAGTTTTCGTATAATTTGGAGTAAAATCTTGTGAACTTACAAAAAGTCTGCTGAAAAAGGATCCGTTTTTTTTCTTTACGAATAATGTACAGATAGAGTAGAATGCGTTAAATCAACTCGCATAAACACTATCTTCATTACGACTTTTAATTTTTTTAAATATACACATGTGATTTTTTGTAATATTATTCGCGCACCTTGAACATTTATTTCCATTAATGATGTATTATATAATTTTATGCATTTGTGGTACAAATGCAATTTACAATGCACTTGCCCCCGCGTACTTCATACATGTACACACAAATACAAGTGTTTACTTTATCCCGCAACCCATGACTGGGAGCCCCTTCTCTTGTGAGAATTTACCTACCATGTGAATTACTTTTGACATCCCTTTCAATTTCAGAGATCCTCCGGCAGTCGTGTGCACTCAGGTTCGAGGTGGGGAAATTCACGTTTCTGTTTGGAAGAAGGGCTCTGTCCTTGGGCAGTCTTTCTTTCTCATGTCATTCATTCGCGTAAAAACTCTCGTTTAGGAAAGAGGAATCGCCGATATTGTCATTTTAAGGTACTATAACGTTTCTGGATTTGGAGGGGCAATGAGAAGGCATTGAGGGAAAGTTGCTTGCGCTCCCAGGAGCGCAGGGCTTCTCAGTCGGGCAATCGCAAGGGCGGGCGCGGATTGACTCGCCTGTTCAGACTGTTTAAGCATACTCACCTGCACTGCTCTGTATTTAGGGCTGTTGCGGAAGGCGTAAGCCCAAGCCTGGATGAGCTCCAGGAGTTTAGCCTTTACTTCATAATGACAAGTTTTCGCCAACTCCCGCAACTGTTCCATATATGGCTTTGTACCAACTTCATCATGAATTAAATACCCACAATTTTTCATACACGAATCCAGCACCTGTAAAAATTACAAATATGACCGCCATTGATTCTTAATACAGCAACATGAATTTCCATACTGTGTGTCGTTTTGTTTCGTTTGCTTTTTACTACTGAAGAAACATTCTTACCAAATCATATTTCTCTTTTACCCGCTCATTTCAAATTTAATTTGCTAACAGTAATTTGTATTCAAAGAGTAATTTGCAACAGATAATGCACATGTGCATCCCCCATGTGCATATGTGCAGACTAGCCTGCATACGCACGAACAGGTACACACCTGACCCCCCCACGCACACAAACCACCCAGACACGACTGCCAACCGAGATAGAAACACATACATTCAATGTTAATCAAAATATTTGGCATATGTGATCAATCGATAGGAAGAAAAATCTTATGCTAATTCTGGATAATTTATAATTTATAGTTTTACATTTGTCATTCGGATATGAAGTCTAAAGCCTTTGATAGTGTTACATACATTACTATTTCAAAAACTTTAATGGGACTGAAAGAAAGAATAAATTAACTTTTAAATCCTACCAGAATAAAATACCTGGTAAATCGTCAGCAACATACAGAAATATTTTGGGAATTTGAATATTCAGTTGCTAAACTTTTGACAAAAGGTAACTTTAGGTGATAGACAAGAATCAGTCCTTGAGTCTTTCGTTTCTTTGATATTTGCAAATTATTTTTCCATGTCTACAGATTGTAAAGTAATATTCTATGCAAATGATTCTTCAGTTGCTAACTTTGATAGTCTTAACTGCTTGGAGCGCCCAGAGAAAACCAGGATTCTGAGGCAGTTGATCCTCGGGGGGCCCCTATATCAAACAAAAAATTCTGTCGTCCCAAATTCAAAACCACGAAACTCGACCCGAATTAATTTCTCCATCAATCAGAAATAACTTACAACAATTTTACTTATTACTGAGAATTGTCCATGTTTTATTTCTTGCTGTTCTTGTCCATAAACTTCCTACTTCACTTTTTATTTCGTCTCCCCAGCGAATCTTCAGGCTTCCGACCTTTCTTGTATCTCTTCTTTGGTCGCATACTTCTCTCTTAGGTCCCAGCTCTTCATTAGTTCCCATGTGACCGGCCCATCTCCATTTCAGCTACCTTGCTCTTTCGGTGATACCTATTTTGTGAGTTTTTTTCTCTTGTGATGTTATTTTTTATTTTGTTTTTATAGTGCTATTCCTTATATATCTTTCCATACCACTTTGGCAATTATTAGTAGGTTTTTTCTATTTTTTTATTCAACGACTATTTCAGCGGCCCGTATAGTGTAGCAGAAGTATAAATTTGATGCTTCAAAATTTCTTTCATGCTACTGAGATCCGTCTTTCTAGTATTTCTTTTCTATTTCTATTTCTGAAGGAGATAGTTTGTCCAAGGTTACACATTCTTCTGAATATTTTATTTCTTCATTATCTACTTTAAAGCTAATATTTTCACCGTTTTTTCCCTCATGCTCATTTTTAGCCCTAATTCCTTATTGAATTTTATTATTTTTTTTTGTAATCAATTTCAACTCTCTATATGGTTCTGAAATTAACAGTATGTCACCTGCAAAACGTCAATTGAACAATATACAATAGTAATAAATAATTCATTAGAAATGTTGAAAGTGGTTTGTTTTGTAAATTTTCCATTTCATCGCAGTCTGTAATTCATCGCAACTTTATGCACCTATCCGAGAATCGAAGCTCTGAGTACTCGGGAATTAGCATAATTTGTGTACAGCGAGTGCACTGCAAATCTAGTGGCCGGCTCGCTGGGTAAGGTTCTGACGGCCTAAAATTGGACTCTTTCGTGGGGCCGCGCTCGTAATTTGCACCACAATTCCATCAATTCACAATTATTTTTTTCTTCGTGTGTATGCAAAGAACATTGATTGTTTCTTCGGCACTACTTAGAACTATCTTCAGAGCTTCGACTCACTATAAACCTAACCTTTTGGACGTTATAAAAGAAGAGAAATTGCCAAGAATTGATTTGTAGCAGCCGGGGCGGTGGCCACTAATGGGAGATACCTGGTTAGGGTAAACCCCGCTAGCCGGTTAGTGCCGGAATTCTCCATCCAGCGGGGCAAGATCACAGCCCCCCAGCAAAATTCACTACACTTACGGGACTAATTACCTTAGCCGTTGACGCCCCTGGAATCACTTGTAAACCCTCAATCACTCCCGACATGTTTACCAAGTTTCAGCTCAAAAACTTATAATCTAACAGAGTTAAGTGTGACCCATTCATGTACACACATAACTATACTCATACACGTCGACAGGCATCCCGTTTTGGAATACAAAACTGCGTAATCGTCGCAAACGCCTTTGGAACTGCTCTTATAAACCTTAACACCGTCTTGTATGCAACAAGGATCAAAATTTTAGATCGTATTGTCAAGGTGATTCCAATTCCTATTACTATTGGATAGGGAGGTAAAGTAAAAATGTCTATCATTTGACTTCGGTTTTCTCATGCTATGCCACTGGACACTTCTCACTTTTAATCCGCTGGTACGATCCCTTGAGTTAAAAGACAAAATCCATTGTTCAAAGCAATTAGAATATTGCAACATACACTGAACACAATTTCAAGTTAAGCCTTTTTGATACGTACCACCAATCCAAGCAAGGCACTGCGAGGGTTTGCACTGTACAATTGCTTTTTCACAGCTCCAACGGCGTATTTCGGCCTGAAAAGATGCGATCTGATAAAAGATGGAAGATGATTCCAGTAACAATAATATCACAAACTCGCCTCTGAATTGTTCCGTTTCGAAGTTTGAATGTATTAAAATGGAACAAAATACATACAAAAGTGCTGTTTGAGTTAAAATATGTAAAAGTACGTAATAATATCAAAATATATACAAATATGTAAAAAATGTTTTCAATTCTTTCAGAATGTCTTGTAAACTTTAAAAAATATTATTGAATTCAGGTATCTTCATCCTTTAAAACTATATATTTACATGAAAATCCGTTCTTTACTCGTAAGTAGGGATTTCAATGCAAATCCTTGTTTTTTCGGATAATCAGAAAGTATGCTCCCTTGGTATGGGTATAAAACATCCAATATCCCAAGAATTATCTTTTCTCATATTTGCGTACTATACATTACTTTAATGTATTTAATTTTCAATTTCGTTATGTGTGTATGTATATAAGTGGTTCATTGTAGCTAATGTCAATTTTCTTTATCTGAATTTTGCATGATATTCAACAGGAAAAGTATTGCCGTTTCGTGTTTTGTATGGTATGGTATGGTATTCATGGTATGGTATGGTATGGCATCTTTTCATGGTATGAAGGTGGCTATTAGGGGGTTTGCTATTGATGGTTTCAGGGAATTGTGTTCAAACATGATTATAATGCTAATACTCGTAGTTAAATGTATTAGCGACATTACATTACGTAAAATAGCCAATTCTATTAACTACGACTTCTTTGCAATTTCTTTGAGCGGTGTAGTAAGAGTAAAGTTCTGACTGATTGCACTGTCCAAAAACAATTATAATAAACTGTTAGAATGGTTTTATATACATTATCCTTATACAGTATTTGAGTAAAACTCCGAATGTGCGTATGTTTGGATGTTCGATTCCATCACCCAAAGCTAGACCACTTCCCGTGCTCTAATCGAGACATATAAGGTCATTCGACGCGTCTCGGTCTTTTGATGGGAAATTGATAATTTGTTTCCGGATCCGGCCAAACATTTCAAAAAATTTTCAAAAACATGTTTGTGCGTGTTTTGGCGCTGCGATCTTAGTGATAATACCAGGAATTAAATCAACGCCTCCTTAATAGATCTATATAGGTGGAGCTAGTACCCAAAGGCATTTGTCGCTCAATACACCATCATTTTCTTTCACGTTGGCAACACTGATGTTATCTTAACGAGAACAATTAAATTACCAAGTAAATCGCTCTGCAGTCTGATATCGATTTAAATTCTTATGGTATTTTTTAAAATAAATTTGCGAAAATTTACTAACAGTACTGTCTCGGAACTTATTAAACTCGAAGAATTTCATGCGAATATTGAGAAAAAGAATTGTGAATTATGCTAGAGGGATGGATGAATGTTATGTTCGACTTCTCACTTGTTCGTTCTTACATACGTGTGCAAATAACGATTTTCAAATGAATGTGACCTACAACGTATTCTTATTAAACTTAACCTTATTCACGTAAACATACAAAACAGTCGCCTTTTGGTGTTAGATTCGCATGCATTGCTAGATTCGCATTCAAAACGAGTAATAAGGGGAATTGCAGAAGTAGAAGTGAATACAAAAGACTGAGTTTTTGAAGTTTTGATCTTTTCAAATATATGGAGAGAAAAATGTAAAAGTGTTAAGGAAATTCGGGGAAGAATCAAATGTAGTTGTAAAAGATGTTACGACGGAGTTTTCGGAACTAATTAGCAACGATCTGCATTTTTGCTTTTAGCATTTGTGCTAAATCAAATGTGCTATGTGCATTTTTGTGCATATTAGCAAAAAGGCGTAAAAATGTCGGTAAACTAAAATTTAACAATTCGCATAATCAAACCTGTAAGTATTTGCTACAGCGATTAATTTTAAAATTACAATAAGACCAGTTCATATCCCGTATGGAGATAACATATAAAATCACTGTGAGTTGGGATCTTTTGAACGGGACATTATCAGCTACTACGATTCATTGCTTAGTCTATGCCAGGTACTGAAATAACATGTTTCAACATATAGCTGAGCGTGAAAGAGAAGTTTGAAAGAAATTTTCAACTCATGAAACTATTTTTGAAACATTTTATAGCGTCGGCGACGCCAAATTTTTCTAGTAGGGAATATATTAGGGCAAACATTTTCGAAGTTTTTTCTGTTCATTTCATAGATTATTAGGGCATATAAATCTGGTCCCTACTCGTAAGTTCCATTAGTTAAATATGAAATACAACCAATTTTGCAACGAAGGATATTATTTATGGATTAAAATCTATACTTACTGCACATCTCCTTGCCGTATTAAATCACATATTTGAATAATTCTTTCCCAGTCTGTCTCCACCCGGACACCGCTAGTTGCTTTCTCTATAATCAAAAATTAATTTCAATAACCTCAGTAAAAAATTAAATATTATTATTTCTCAATTTTGATATATATCTAAATTTGAATTCATGAAATTTGAACTACACTACCTTAATCACACGTTTCCTTAATTAAAATACACAAGAATAAAAAAAGTTCTGTAAGCAATTATTTATTGCACATCTAATAGTTTTGGCGTAAGGAATTGTTCTACTTACCAAGAAGTTTATCAAAATTATATGTAGAACGGAACATCGTAGATGTGTCAGTTGTATCAGTGGTTACAAGCAATTTTTCAAATTCAGCACGAAACCTTCAAAGTCTGCGGAACCAACACGAGAAATTAACGTAAACTTGTCACACACAACACTGGAAATTACTCAGAAAATGAGAAGCATCCAGACAGCACCAAAATGTGACTGACCGAAATCCTGTTTATCCTGCTGCGCCTCAGTCACACGAATGGACGCGCCTGTGCAGCTTGTTCCACAGCCTGGAATCAAAGATATCCTCAACTTCATACAGTGCTCAGTTATACTCCAGGACACTACTACTACTGCTACATACTAGTACATTCGAATTAAAGTTATTATAGTAAATCTTGATTTCCCATGGGTAGGTGAAGGCACAAATAATGATTCATTACCAGAGGGTCTTAACATAACAAAGCTGAATTCACACAAACGTAAAATGATTAGCACTAATCGTCTTAGACTTTTACAGGCACAATCGTAACAACAGATGCTCCAAATGCCCACTCTCGGTGGCGATACATTACTGAGTAATTGAATTAGTGTTCCAGCAACATTTGCGAAAGTGTCGTCAGCGACTACAGCACATACCGTTTCAATGAATTCACAAAGTACTGCCAACGTAGCTGGTTTTCTAAGATTAACATCATTTTTAAGAATTACCCATAAGTAGAAGTCCTTTTCCATTGAACTCCAAATTTTCGAAAAAGTCTCAAGTTCCAAATTTTTCGGTGTCTTCCTACAACTACAATATTAAAGATAGAGGTTTTTTACTTTATCACGAACTTCTTACGCATTATGAAGAAAGATCCCCCGAAAGATGTTCAAGTAATCTTGCGGATGGGAGGTGATGTTTTGACAGAAAAATGTTGATTGTCTGACCCTGGTATCGAAAAAGTGGATAAATTTTGTTCATTTAAGTAGTAAATACCTTTCTGTAAAGGAATACTTATAAAAATGACATAGGTTAAAACCTCTGAATTTTCAAAAAATATTGCACCCTCTCAAACACTATTAAGGCCAAATGCACCGAAAAATACTTGTAGGAAAATTCAATAGATCGCAGCACAGGGGAATTTACTTTACCGATAACGTCTGAACCAATGGTCCGATTTTCGATCTGTAAACGGCATTTGACGCGTTTTCAAAATAGAATTTACGCTACGAAGCCCTTTTTCCAAAAATCTAGCAAAATCTCGAATTTGAAATTAGTTCTCAAACTTTCGAGAAAAAATTTAAAAATGTGGGCTTATAGCGCGATGGCGACATGCTTCCCATGCAACGCCGTGACAATCATGCAAATCGGACGAATAGGAGCGTCGTAAAGTGAAATTTACGAAAACACCTCACCCCCCTTCCCCTTCTTCGCCGTTGAGTCACACACCCGATTGTTGTGGGCCCTCTGTCGGCGCGGGGGCACGACCAGGCCAGGCGGAGCAGGCGGGACTTGCAGGATACGCAAGCCACACAGTCGGTTTATGCTTTCGTCTCTTTGCATCTCAGTCTATTTTTCCACTGATACCAAATTAGAGATGCTATATGACTGACTGAGGTAAACGGACTGTAATAGTAGTACATAACTATATTTTTTCCTTCGAATACGATCTTAAAATTGTTTGAGGCAATACTCAAAATATCGATTTCGATTTGGAACTGGTTTTTAAAAAAATGAACTAATTTTTTAAATATAACAATTATTCCATCTCATCACATCTTATTTTAGATATATTTTACTTCTAAGGTTTTCTGTTAACATTCCACCTTGCTCTAAGATCTTCCAGGTTCAAATACCGGAAAGAATGAGCGGAGTATACGCACGAGCTCTTTTATCCTACAACTCGATTTTTGATCTCAAAACGATGTTTATCTGCTTTAATGAGTTCATCTGGTGAATCTCTTTTCCCAAGTAAAATGGCCGAAGCTAATTTTAAAAATATTTTCGTACTTTCGGACAAATTTAAACAAGTATATGATCTTGACTATACGGGTGGTATGCCCATGACATACTAGCCATGAAGAAAGCCACGACAAGATGGTCGAAATGTCGGCAACACAGCTTCGACGCGGCGTCACCCGGACAACCAAGATCATGCACATGACTCAGGCCGCGGAAGCCTACGACTTGAAATTTTAAAAAGGTGGTAAAATAGCGGGTTGGCGAGGTGCATTTTGACTCCAACGCCGTAACAAGCATCGAAATAAGCTATTACCGTCCCACAAAAGTCAGAAGACCCAATTAAAATGAATCACTATACAATGTTACACATTGAGATAAAAGGTTGAAGCAACAACATGTTACACATTTGATTCATGTTGTTCCAGAACAAGAAACATTGTATATAGAATGAAGTGATATTGAACTGAATAATGTTGTCTAAGAAATATACTAATATATCTTGACTGGCTGGCTAAGGCGGCCATTGCAAAAATGGTCAATATCCGAAATAACTTACCTGGTAATATACTTCGCTAAAATTCTTTTGTTCAACTGTATGTACAGGACAATGACAGTAATATTATAAAGTATGTTGGTTTATTGAAGTTTTGGAAGATGTTATTTATTTGTGCAGTGTGATATGATTTTCCTCACTCAATTCAAAGAGAGATTTTTCTCAAATTGCGCTTGCGAAGATGAGGCGTCAAAATCGTTTACACTCGTGGGGGAGACTTTTTTCAGGTTTCAACGTCAAAAGTTAATTTGTTGAGACGCAAATGTGGAAAGTGGCTTTTAGATTGTACTATCTAAGGTACTAAAAATTCGATTATAGAGGAGTATTCTGCACAATAATTCAAGTACAAAATGGCAATGAATTGAGTGTTTTGTAAACATTTCTTTCAATGATATTTTTAGACCCTCCAGATAAATAATACGAAAATCAGAAATATCGCAACGTTGTTTGCTCAGAATCGCTTCAACACACAACAAAAAAAATTCTGCCGTCATCTCGAAAGACGAAAAGGAGATTGTTGCTTCTAATCTATGAGCTTGGGAAAATGGAAAACAA